CTGGGCAGAGCCCAGAATGACATCCCAGGCCCAGACTCTGCACACACAGCCATTTCAACATCAGGGTAAGATAATGTCCTCGCCCACTTGGCCCACTGTGTCCCCATCCCTTCCTACCCACATAGTGTGGCCTGTCTATTTTAGCAACAGACCATTTGTTCAAAGGATCCTGCCAGGATTCAGTTTTCTGTTTTTCTCTTTTTAAAAAAGCCACAGACATAAAAAATAAATAAGCTGAAGATGGTCTGTTTCTGCCACCTTCTAAACAGACCTGTGATTAATTAATATCACGACCACAGAGGGAGTCATTAGAATAAGAGTACTGGCCAGGTTGGCCACTGACCCTGCCAACTCCATTCACCTGGACTTTGAAGCCAGTTTGGAAACCAGCCATTGAGAAACCCCACAAGCCCCAATTTCCTCCAGACAATTATGGAGGAAAATCACAAGTCAACAGAGAATATGGAAGTTACTGGGAAAGTATGAGGTCCACGGAGGCTGCATCTTAAAGCACAGATGCCATCCATCATCCCAAACCAGATGACCTGGGAATGGGGCTGCCATATTTAGCAAGTGAAAAACACAACACCCAGTTCAATTAGAATTTGAAGTAAACAACTATTTACTGTGTCCCAAATATTGCCTGGGACATACTAAAAACTTATTTGTTGTTTATCTGAGATTGAGATGTAACTGGGCCTCCTGTGTTTTATCCCACATTCCTGCTGTAGAATGACAAAGGAAGTGCTGAAAGGGACACAGCTCAAATCAGGTCTCAAATAGTGTGCTCCAGGCCATCTGAGACCCACAATGTGTGTTGTTGCCTTTAGTGTATAAAATAGGAATAGGTTGCTTAATTTTCAAGGATTTGTGGTTTCTTAAAATGGAAAGCTCCAACCCTGTTGGCAGTAGCTCCCCAATTATGAGAGCATAATAGGGACAGAAATGAAAACTGATTACTGAGTTGTCAGGATGGAGAGATTGTGGGTAAATTCATTTGGGGTCTATTTTGGCATGAGTCTGGAGGTCACACGGTCAGCAGCCCACACCTCAGGCCTGGGGAATCGGCATTCTTTCAGGCTGTGCTGCTGTGGCCCTGGGAAGTGCTGGCTGTAGAATCTGAAAAGCTTGCCCATCTGCAACATCCCTGCCAGGCCCAGTTGGATGTCCCCCCTTCCCAGCCCAGGATGAAGGGCTGTCTCCCTGGGCTGGAGAAATCAGTGCACACAGTGCCCTCTGCAGACACAGGCTAGAGCCATGAGTCCTCAGAGGGACCCTGCTCTATCTACCTATCTTCCCTGGGAATTGTGTGGCCACAAGTAGAGTGAGGCATGTAAAATGTAGAAGAAAAAGGAAGATTCAAAGAAACTAAACACAGCAAACATTTGTGAAGCTCTTTCTATGTTCCAGTTAGGCCGAGTTCTAAGTGTTCATTTACCTCCTTAAAATAACCCCCCATAGGTGGGTACCATTATATCCCTATTTTTCAGATGAAGAAATTGAGACTCACAAAGAATCACTGCCCAAAGTCAGTAGCTAATACATAGCAGAGCCAGGATTTGAACCCAAGAAGTTCCACAGGCCACGTTTATTTTTAACATTTAAAAAATGGTCATACAGGGAGGTCAGATCAAGGGAGGGTGATTGGTGGGATCACACCTATAGTGCGTAACGCAAGGGTACATGTTGGACCTATTATAGAGTATAAATGTCTTAACACAATAACTTGAGATGAGGTATATATTAAACAGTGTGATGTAAGCATTCCTAATTCTATATGAAATCAGTACATTGTACCCCATAAATGCATTAATGTATACATGATCTATGTGTTTATGATTTAATTTAAAAAAAAAAAAAGTGGTCATACAAGGCAGAGTGCAATAGCTCACAATTATAATTCTAGCAGTTTAGACCAATGTGGGGGGATCACTTGAAGCCAGGAGTTGGAGACCAGCCTAGGCAATACAGTGAGACCTCATCTCTACAAAAAATTTTAAAACAGTGTTGCCTGTGGCTCAGTGAGCAGGGCATGGGCCCCATATACCAAGAGTGGCAGGTTTAAACCTGACCCCAACCAAATTGCAACAAAAAAATAGCTGGGCGTTGTGGTGGGCGCCTGTAGTCCTGGCTACTTAGGAAGCTGAGGCAAGAAAATTGCCTAAGCCCAGGAGTTGGAGGTTGCTGTGAGCTGTGACGCTATAGCACTCTACTGAGGGCAATTGAGACTCTGTCTCTACAAAAAAAAGAGAAAAAAATGTTTAAATTAGCATGGTAATGTGCACCTATAGTCCTAGTTACTTGGGAGGATGAGGCGGGAGGATCTCTTGAGCTCAAAGTTCAAAGTTACAGTGAGCTATGATGATTTCATTGCGCTGTAGCCTGGGGGACAGAGCAAGACCATCTAAACAAAAAAATTGTCAATTCAGAAAAAAAAAAATTGTCTTGTGGTGGGCGCCTATAGTCCTAGCTACTTGGGTGGCTGAGACAAGAAAATCACCTAATCCCAAGAGCTGGAGGTTGCTGTGAGCTGTGATGCCACAGCACTCTACTGAGGGCAACAAAGTGAAACTGTCTCTAAAAAATAAAATAAAATTGTCAATTTGGGTGGCACCTGTGGCTCAGTGGGTAGGGCACCAGCCGCACTGCAACAAAGAAATAGCTAGGCGTTGTGGTAGGCACCTGTAGTCCCAGCTACTTGGGAGGCTGAGGCAAGAGAACTGCCTAAGCCCAGGAGTTGGAGGTTGCTGTGAGCTGTGACGTCACAGCACTCTACCGAGGGCGATAAAACAAGACTGTCTCTACAAAAAAAAAAAAATTGTCAATACAATAAAATTGACTTCTTTTGCTGTACAGTTCTGTAAATTTTAATATGTGTTTAAATTCATGTAACAACCACCACCATAACCAGGATACCAGGAAAATTCCTTGGCTATTCCTTCACATGCACACACTCCACCCATCCCAACTTCTGGCCACTGCCACGTTTCCCATCGTTACAGCTTTGTCTTTTCCCAGAATGTAAATCAAATACTATCACACAGGAAGTAACCATTTGAGACTGGGTTTCCTCACTCAGCATGCCTTTGAGGTTTGCCCTTTGTCCCACGTATGGCTGGTTCATTTTTTACTCATATAAAGATAGCTATTGCAAATGGAGTACTTAACCCTGTGGCCAAAAGCTACCCTAAGCATCTGGATGTTACCCCATTTGATCTTCATAGTAACCCCAGGAAGAATGAAATGTTATAGAAGACAGGGAGTTAAGAGCTGGTGATGGTACTGCTAACAGAGGCCAGAACTAAGCCTAAACTCTAAACTACATGTCAAACTTTGTTCCCAGCAAATGAGTGGGGTGTGAGGATGATTCCACCTCTCAGCTGAAATCCCGTAACTCTGTGGATCCCTTATCCTGTAGCTCCCCATAAATGCTTGTGATTTCATCCATGTAGCTGGTGAGTCTGAAAAGCCCTTGCAATGCAATAGAGCACTAAACCCCAAGGATAGCACTCAAATCCCAGCTTTGTCACTTACCCTCCCTGAGCCTGTTTTCCTACCTGTAAGAGTAACATTTCTGGCATAGATTAAATAATAGTTAACATAGTTATAAGCAAAAGGCAAGCACTCCAAGAACCCAATTTGACAGATGAGGAAACTGAGGCTTATGGAGGGAATTTACCCAAAAGATCCCAAGATTAAGAGGGACAAATGAGATAGAACACGTTTGGACTGTGGTGAGAGCTGAAACTGGGGAGATGGGTGGCAAAGGGTCTCAACCCTGGATGCTACCACTGCTGCTCCAGCTCAGAGAAACAGCAATAGCAAAACCAAGAGATGTGGATGATGCTGGAAATTCTCATGGGAGCTTCTTGGAACCCTTGTCCAGCAGGCATTTGGGGCCTCAGTGGTATTTTATTAACTACGTGGACATCAGCAATAGTGCAGCAAAGCATTTCAACTTTTCAAGTGACACAAATTAGCTCCTTCCTGTATCCAGTAGACTACCTTTGGTAATACGTAATTACACCAAGGATTACTAATGCAAAAAACCAGACTAGCAGAATTCAGTGCTGATGTCACTTACCAGCTGTGTAGCCTCATACATGTTACCTCTATTCCTTCAACTGTTAAATGACAATACTGCTTCATAGAGACGTTGGAAGAATGTTTTATTAACAAGGTAAAGTTCAGGCCAGACATAGTGGGCCATGCCTACAATCTTAACACCCTCTGGAGGCTGAGGCAGGATCAGAACTAGAGAGAACCTGTGTCAAAAGAGGGGGTAGATCACGCAAGCCCTAATATGAACTTTTATTAAAGTGAACTGGGGAGACACTGCAGAGTTCTAAGCAGGGACAGTTTTGTAACCTTAGTTTACACAGATCACTCTGGCTCCATTTGGAAAACAGATTATATGGGGAAATGGCAAGAGTAATCCAAGTTTGGATGATGGTGGCTTAGACCAAGGAAGTCAGAGCAAACAAAAGTGGTTTAAGAGGGGGTGAGTTTTAGAACCAGGTGCAGTGGCTCACCTGCACCCATAATCTTAGCACTAGGGTGAGATTGTCTCAAAAAAAAATCCCTCAGAATGTATTAGCAGGAAACTAAGGGCCATTAAAGAAAATGCATTTGATTAAAAAGAGCTCTATATTATATATCACTTACTGCTGTTATCTGCCTCCACTACAGAAAAGATATGCTTAAAACTCAAATCCTTGCTACACCTGGCAGCCTACCAAGCAGAATGAGTAGTCAGAATTTTACCACCTAATCTCAGAAATGACATTAGATGCAACCCTTTACAGGGAGAGCATCTGACCATTACCAGAAGCATTTCCAGAAATCCAGAGCCCCATCTTTCAGAGGTAAAATTCAAAAACTATGTTTCTCATATTGATAACCCTAGAACCAGTAAATAACCTACCTGAAACACACGGACACCTGGTTGCTACTTTTTAGCCCTGTTAAACGTTTACCTTCATTGGTCAAACACAATAGCATTTTGACTTTAAAGATTTTATTTTCTTTCTCAAGGTAGGAAGGAGGCCACATGAGAAATTTCACCAAGATCTAATAATTGATTCCTCCCAGAAATGAGTACAGCCTTTTGAACTCAAGCTGCATGCACAATAAACCTTCTGGAACTGCTTTCAGCCAGAATGCATTGCTTTCAGAAGAACAAAGGGTCCAGTCAGTCTTCCTTTCAAGAGGCCTTCTCTTGTATTCCAATTCCAGTTAAGAAACTAAAATAAAAAAGGTACATTGTAATCAGTGCTTCATTCTAATCTGCCATACTATTTGTTTGAGATATTGGTACACGTGCATAAGACGGACTCATTCCCATCCGGACTCATTCCCATCCGCTAGGTGGATGAACAATCATGTACCAGACCAAGAGAGCTGGGAAACTCAAAAGCTATTGAGGCTCATCACCTGTAGCTCAGCTGCTAAGGCACAAGCCAAGTACACCAGAGCTAGTGGGTTCAAATCCAACCTGGGCCTGCTAAACAATGACAACTACAACCAAAAAATAGCTGGGCTTTGTGGCAGGCGCCTGCAGTCTCAGCTTTGAGGCCAGAAGTGGTGTAATCCGAACACTCTTGAGTTCAAGACCAGTCTGATTAAGGGTGAGAATCCTGACTCTACTAAAAGTTAGCTGGGGCTTGGCACCCGTATACGGCTCAGTGAGTAGGGCAACCAGCCATATACACCCAGGCTGGGGGGTGTTTTGAGCCTGGTCCGGCCCTGCTAAACAATAACTCCAAGCAAAAAAGAGCCAGGCATCGTGGTGGGAGCCTGTAGTCCCAGGTGCTGGGGAGGCTGAGACTGGAGAATCACTTAAGCCCAAAAGTTAGAGGTTGCTGTGAGCTGTGATGCCACAGCACTCTGAGGGCGACACATTAAAACTCTCTCCAAAAAAAAGAAAATTAGCCGGGCATTGTGGCAGGTGCCTACAGTCCCAGCCACTTGGGAAACTGAGGCAGGAGGATCACTTAAACCCAGGAGTTTGAGGTTGCTGTGAACTAGGCTGATGGCCAATGCACTCTAACCTGAGCAGAGTGAGACTGTCTCAAAACAAACAAACAACACCTATTATATAGCAGGTAAAACACTACAAGGGATACAAGAAAACTGCTTACTTATTAATCAGCAGCATACTGCATCACACAGCTCCCTGAGCCATAGGAAGTTCCGACCTGTAGGAAGTTAACAGATTAAGACCAAAATAAACTATCTGCATACTGAAAAAAACCAACAGAGCAAGCTCAAGCCTCACTAAATAACTAGAGGGAAGGAGAAAACAAGAGGTTATCTGAGGCCAATGCATCAGACAAAACTGGCTAACCGTGTAGATCAACAAGGTCGATCTGATGGGGAAAAAAGTTATGTCATCAGCTGCAAAGGCCAACTTTTTAGTCAATGTAGAAAGGGGACAACCCCACACTGAAAAAGAAAAGTAAACCAGGAATGGTGACGTATGCCTCCAACTCCAGTTATTAGGGAGGCAGAAGCAGGGGAGGACAGCTTTAACCCAGAAATTTGAGGCTACAGGAGCTATGATGAGGCCACCGGACTCCAGCCTGAAAAAAAGTGAGACCCAGCATCTTATAAAAAATAAAGCAGTTACTATGCTTATGCAGATCCTTGCCTATTCAGCTGAGAAAGATGTAGGTACTTACCAGTCACTTCCCACAGCCAGATTCATCTTGATTCATTCAAAGTCTACCTTCTGCCCAACACAAACCTATAATGAAAAAGAGATAAACTCCCATCAGCTAGAGATGCAAGGGAATGGGGGCCAGAGGAACTGCTCAAGCTGGCATATCAGACAGAAACTGGCTTAGAAAAAGTTAGATCAACATGGTCGATCTGTAGGGGAAAAAAGTTTAGTCATCATACATGCCAGCAGAAAACCCTAGAACACCCTTAGCAAGTAATAAGCTGCAGATAATGCCAGCTTCACTATCTGCAAATTCATTTAATATGTGAGCAACTGTGCATTGTATCCTGTTGTTGGTAGTGACATAATGGCCAAAACACCCTCCTTGCCTTCAGAGCTAATGTTCTATTTGAGTATATATAGGCCATATGATAGCGTAACTAGCAAGAGTTAATAGCTAGTGCTTATGAAACTGAGATATGGTAATAGTTCCTAAGCAAGCATCAGGAGGTTATTTTTTTTTTGAGATAGTCTTGCTATGTCACCCTCAGTAGAGTGCCACGGCGTCACAGCTCACAGCAACCCTAACCTCTTGGGCTTAAGCAACTCTCTAGCCTCAGCCTCCCAAGTAGCTGGAGACTACAGGTGTCTGCCACAACACCCAGCTATTTTTTGTTGCAATTGTTTTAGGTGGCACGGGCCAGGTTCAAACCTGCTAGCCTCAGTATATGTGGCTGGCACTGTAACCACTGTGCTACAGGCATTGAGGTGCACCAGGAGGTTCTTAACAGAAAAACCTCAACAATCTGGGACAAGCTCTCCAAACTGTTCCCAAGGCTGGGTGCAGTTGTTCACACCTGTAATCCATGCATTCTAGGAGGCCAAGGCAGGAAGATCACTTGAGCCCAGGAGGTCAAGGCTGCAATACACTACCGTGATACCACTGTACTCTACCTAGGGCCAACAGTCTTCAAGCAATCCCCTGCCTTAACCTCCCATAATGCCGGGATTACAGGCATGAGCCAATACACCCAGCTCAGCCATTTCTTAAATTTTCTTCACCAGAAATCTAAATCCAACAGGTAATAGTAAAAGATTAAAAATACATTAGTTAAATCTTCAAGCTTTTTCCACGTTTGTCTAGTTAAGAGGTTTCATACAACAGGCCCGGAGGCAAGCGCTTACCTGCAGAGGTCAGGAGATGGAAGGGCGCCAGTGTCTGCACGTGGTTCCCGTTAAGGCCCAGCGGCTGACTCCTGCTCCAACATACTGTCTGTACACCGACCACGCTCTAACCTGTAAACCAAAAACAAAAAAAAGGCATCAACCACCACCTTCCCACTGTCAGAAAACGGCTGGGCCATTTTAGGCCGGTATATCAGAAACAACTGGCAAGTATTTTAAGACATCAGCATTGTCGATCTGATGGGGAAAAAAGCGAAGTCATCATTTACACCGGCCAAGGTCTGCTCAGGCCCGTGCAGAAGGCGCGGGTTTTTCCAGCTCTAACTCATCTCCCCCGCGGCCCTGAGGCCTATTTGAGGTCAAAGTCGAAAGGCCACGGTGAGGGAGAAGGGTAGGGTCGGCCGCAGAGAAGACCGCACAAAGATAAAGAAGGACCAGAGATTTCGAATAGAAAACAATAAGGTTTCCACTCACCGCACACAAAGCGGGGCCTGCCGTACCGGACGACATCACAGTAACAGTCCAGAGGCAAACAACGCCGCAGACGCCAAAGAAAGAAAGAGGCAGGCTGGCACCTCCTTTATATAACCAGGGGAGCGCTCTCGCGCCTGCGCACTCAATCCGAGGCGCCCTGCTCCCGCCCACGCCGCGCGGCGCCCCCTGGGAAGTGTAGTCTCCAGCAGAGCTTCCCGAAGAGCTGTCATGGCTGTCCCCGCCGTGTTTAGCCCCGCCCCATCCTCAGTACACAGTGGGCCACCCAGACTCGTCGGCCTTGCCGCCATGTCGCGCTTCACACGCACCAAGCCGCTCGCCGGGTTTCCCCTCCTCAGAGGCGGGCTGAGGCCTGCGGCGGCTTTGGGCGCAGTTACCTCACCCCTCGCGGTACCGTCCCCTCAGCCGCGCTCGGCCAAGCCCGTCGGTACCACAGCGCGGGGAAGCCACGTCCGCCCGGAGGGCGGAGACACCCGCCGAGCCTAGGCCCAGCCTCCCCGGGTCGCCACCCAGAAGCCCCCGCCCTCTCCTTGTCCTCCGCCTCCTCCGGGCCGCCCGCCCGGCTCCTCGCCCCGCCCAGGGTCTGCGGGGAAGGGAAACCGAAAGTGCGCCGCCACGGGCGGGGCCGCCGAGCTGCCGGGCCAGATCGCTCCTGCAGCGGCCGGGGGCGGACGCACGGACGGTCGACGCGCCGGAGCCGGTGAGTGGCGACCCCCGGCGCGCGGGCGGCGCGCGCCGCCCCACGACTGCCCGGCAGCCCCGCGCCCCCTCGCCCTGCTTGGAACCCTTGGCCCCTGTCACTCTCTGAGCCCCGGCATCCCCATCATCCCCTCCGCGCTCCGGATTCTCTTCACTGGGGATCTCCGTCCCCTTGGCTCGCCCGGCACTCCCGTCCCAGCGCTGCCCGCCCCGGCGCCCCCGTCACCACCTCTGCCCCGGCCCGCACCCCTGTCTCTGCCCTCCTGCTGCTCGGCCGTCTCTGGCCTCGCCGCCTGTCGCCTGCCTTGTCCGTGCCCCATCTCCACCGAGCGCCCTCGGCGCCCCGGCTGCTCCTCCGCGGAACTCTGCTGCGCCCCCTTCCCGAGGCCACGACCTCTCCGGCTGTCCCCACGCACCCCGTTCAGCCCAGGAATGGGGCCTTCCCCGGGGACGGGTGGACTCCCGGGGCCCCGAAGACCTCCCGCTTCCCCCTCCTCATCCCACCCGCTAATTCCCGCCTCCCCCTCCTCATCCCACCCGCTGCTGCCATTCTTCCCTGATCCCGACCCCGACCCCCTATCAGCTTGACCGTCACTGGTCTTGTTCTTCCGTGATCCCGACCCCCATACCAGCTTGACCGTCACTGGTCTTATTCTTCCTGCCCTTTAGGCTTTGATTCCCCCTAAATCCTACTTTACTCTGTTTTTGTCACAGCATTCGTTTCCTGTTCGTGGCTTCTCCTCCCTTCCTTTCCTTGCTTTTTCTTTCTAACGTTTCTTTTTCTTTTTTTTTTCCATTTCTTTTATCCCAGGAAATTTCTGGGTTTCTATTTTAACATCTTTCAACAAGAAGAAGGAATTTTACCCTTGGAGGATTTTTTTAAAACCCCAAACTCTAAATATTGAATCTGCGCCATGAGAGCTGGGTTTGATAAGATGAAGGAGGAGACACACCAGAAATATTCCCGGGGGGGGGGGGGGAGAAAAGGGACTCCTTTTTCTGATGAGGATAAAAGCTCCCTCTAGTATAATGCCAAATCTATTCACAGTTTCCAAGTATGAATATTTTAAAACTCAGTGAGAAGGACAGTCTAAAAATCCCTTTGCTGAGGACTCTGAGTCACCTACTCTTTCTCCAGCCCTAAGCCCACATAATGAGTTGGATTGAGAAGTTCCCTTAGTGGGGCTTCCTCTTATAAGACCAGTGTCAAAAATCATCAAGACAGAAGAAAGAGGAGAAAGAAAGACTTGCTAATTTCTAGCTGGTCCTGAGGAAACAACACCTTGTATTTGCCAAGCCTCCTGACTATTGAAACGTGTAATTTCTTTCTCTTGATTCAGTAGAGTGGAGGGCTTAATCATTTGGCTCCATTCCAAAGAATAGGGTAAGGGATAGCTGCTCTCTAATTATTTATAAACTGTAGAACACTGCAAGCTATAGAGTACTCTGTAATGTTAAGTGCCAGATAGGGTGGTGAGGACATGGTTTTGGGTTAACAAAAATGTACTCCTTTTGCCCTGGCAACAATATCTGTCTGCTTTATAAGAGAGGAAAATGAAACCTAGCAACCGATTAAGTAACTTGGCTAAGGGCATAAACGAAACTGTAGTGTGGAGTGGGAATTGATGTCATTACTTCTACTCCAAGAGAGTACAAGGGGAAAGGGAATTTGGTCTCTTAAAATCACCTAAAACTGTGACTTTAATATTTTATATCATAATTGGGCATTCACAGAGTTGAGCATTTGTGCTCTTGATTAAAATCTACATTTAATTCTTAGTTAACAAAAAGGTTAAAATGTTAACGGAAGCAGAAAGGCCTGGCTTGATGGTGTTTGGGTGTTTGCTGCTAAATACTATGTTTCAAGGGCACTGATAACTCCCACCCTGTGCAGTTTTCCAGATAACTGAAAGTAAAGTGAACAGGGAGGAATTCAGGTGACTCAGACATGGAGGACAGAAGACCTCATCTGGAGGCGAGACCCAGAAATTTCCATACCAACCACAGAGGTAAGCAAGGTTTCCTACATAATGAGAAGGATATTCTAGTAATGTGAGAAGAAAATTAGCTTCTGTGTGAATGAGCAGGCCCTCCGAAGATTGGCTTGCCTTTCTCAAGTAGAGAATGATTTATTCTTTAGCTATAGCATAAACTGACTCTGAAAAACAGAGAGCCCTGCACTTTTCCTAAGAGAGCTCATGAATGGGTACAGTCACTTTCACAAAAACAATGACACGGTTCCAGAAATGGAAATAACTCTTGGTATAGAGCAGCGCTATCCAGTAGAAACATAATATAAGCCAAAACCATATTTTTTTTATTTTCTAGTCACATCATTTTAAAAAGTAAAAAGAAACATGATATCAACATAAAATATTTTAATGGGTGATTAAACTTTTTTTGGTATAAGTCTTCAAAATCCCATGTGTGTTTTACACGTATTAATTCGAACTAGCCACATTTCACATGTTTAATAGCCTATGTGGCTAGTGGCTATTGGATAGCACAGGTCTTTAGTCCAAGTCACCAAAGCAGATTTAGTTCCAAGAGCATCACTTGACCAAAGGGATTGTTCTGTTGGCTCAGAATCTGCTAAAACAAAACAACTAAATGGTTTCCTGCTTTTCCCTAAGTTTGCAACATATCCTCTGAGTTTAGCTGCGGGACAAAGGAGGAAGAACTGTGGAATTTTAGTTTATTAGCTATGTGAATGTTGAAAATTAGAAACAATACAATTTTTAATTCTTTCAGTATATAGAATCATCTTTTTTTTTGAGACAGAGTCTTACTCTGTTGCCCTTGGTAGAGTGCTGTAGTGTCACAGCTCACAGCAACTCAAACTCTTGGGCTTAAGAGATTATCTTCCCTCAGCCTCCCAAGTAGCTGGGACTATAGGTGCCTGCCCCAACACCCTGCTATTTTTTGTTATAGTTGTCATTGTTGTTTAGCTGTCCTGGGCTAGGTTCAAACCCCCCGGCCTTGTTGTATATGGCTGGCGCTGTAACCACTGTGCTAGGGACGCTGAGCCAGGATCTTCTAATTAGATCAAAATATTAAAGGACTTCTGATATTTTAGGAGTTTGAAAAGTAAATAATGAAAGTAACAATTATAAAAATTTAGAGTTCAGTTGTATAGCATTTGTATTTTACCAAATATTCCTTTATGTTCTCACATTAAAATTTCTCTACAAAGAAAAATGTACATAAATAGATTTAGAGTCTGATGTCATGAAATGGTTATGATCATCTCAAATATCATGTGCATTTAAAGCTTTCATAATATTTTTTAGTCATCTTATCATTATATGCAGTCTTGTTTTTAAAATCTCCACATCAGTTGGGTCAGCTCCAGAATCAGTTTTAGTGGAAAGTAAAGTGAAAAAAACTGAACCTTGTGTATGTTGGGCAAAGTCACTTATGATATGTGTGGTAGATCCAAGAAGATGAGTTTGGCTTCATTCACAGGGAAATGTTTGCTTTCCTGTGCTGAGTGTGTTCTCTTCACCACCCCTCCCACCCTCTCTTCCTATGAGTGTCGGTAATTGCTGATAAGTACTGTTTGATGAGCTCATGCTCCAGAAAGGGGAAAGCTTGAGTTTCATTTTCCAGTTTCCTTCATAGTCTTTTTCAGGGTTTGTTTGTTTGTTTTTTGTTTTTTGAGACGGAGTCTTGTTCTGTGTCCCTCAGTAGAGTGCAGTGGCATTGTCATAGCTCACTGCTACAGCCTCACTCTTGAGCACAAGTGATCATCTTGCCTCATCCTGAGTACCTGGGACCACAGGTAGACTCCACAACGCCTGGCTAATTTTTCTGTCTTTGGTAGAGATAGGATCTCACTCTTGCTCAAGCTGGTCTCAAACTCCTGAGCTCAGGCTCCCTGCCTCAGCTTCCCATAGTGCTAGGATTACAGGTGTGAGACACCACACTCAGCCCTCAAAATCTACTACTTAGCTCAAAAACAGTTTGGTAAAGGGAAGCCCCATCTTTCTTTTTCCCATTCAGACTGCATTTATAATTTTATTCTGCTTAATGTCTTTGCTGCCTATGATAATTGTTTGGTAGTAGAACCAGTGCTTCCCTTAGAATTGACAGGATAATAAGGGAGGGGAGGGGAGGGGGAAGATGGGAGAGAGGGTAATTGTTGGGACCACACCTACGGTGCATCTTACAAGTGTACATGTAAAACTTATTAAATATAGAATATAAATGTCTTAACACAATAACTAAGAAAATGCCATGAAGACTCTGTTAACCAGTTGGATGAAAATATTTCAAATTGTATATAAAACCAGCACATTGTACCCCACGACTGCATTAATGTACAGAGCTATGATTTAATTTAAAAAAAAAAAAGAATTGATAGGATATTCTCTTTTTTCTTTCTTTTTTATTTGTGTTTTGTTTTGTGTTTTTATTGGATATTCTCAAAAAATTATTCTTACTGCTACTATTAGTAACTAACATTTGCTGAGAGTTTTTTATGTATCATCTTTACAAAGACCCCCAAACTGAAACTTACAGAAATTATACAATATTGCCAGGTTATTCATTGAGGAAATGACCAAGCCAAGATTTGAATCAGGTCTTTTTGGCACTGGAACTCATGTTCTGAGTATCATGTTCTGAGCATTGTTTGGTACTGGCAAGAGATTACAAGCAAAGAGCTAATCTTTTCAACCCTCTGACACTTAAGTCCCAGATTGTGAGGATT